TCTCCATCAAAGAGCTCTGCTGCACGAGACACCCGACCTTCTCATAGGCAGCTCTCACTGCTGTTGTCTTCTCCTTGGACTAGCCGGCCAGGACCACCAAGGCAAGTCACTCCATGACCACCACCGTTACGTTCTTTGGAAAGAATTTCAGGTGCATTTCATAGCCAGAAGACATTTGGGAGGGGAAAGCTTATCCAAACACAGGGTCTCCTTTGCCCAGCTCCACCCCAAGCATCCAAGCTGGTCGAGTTTTCCCGCCTCAAAACCCTTCCTCGTTGGTATGAACTTGCTTTTACTGCCTACCAGGTCAGAAACAATCCCAGCTGGAGGAACCAAGCTGTGTGCACTGTCGGAGCTGTGACAATTGTAGAGGCCAGGGACAGAGCACTGTGTTCGAGAAGGCGGCTTGCACTGGGTTTGTGAAGCAAACCTTTGTTTGAGTCTGATGGCATTGCTCGCTCCTGCAGCAACAAAGAGAGAAGTTAGAACCAGCAGGTAGCAATTTTCTGATCAGGGAATGCAATTCCAAACAAGCCACAGGAACTTCGCTTTAGGTGGAAGCAAATCCTTAGTGAGGGACGCAGCAGAAGCCCTGGAGAACCAATGGCTCCCTCAGCAACATCAGCAGAGCCAACCCAAGGCTGGACCAGGTTTGCTGGGTCACTTGGAGACACAGGACGTCCCCAGAAGCCAAGAGGAGACATCTGTCTTCTCTGATGGAGATGAGTATCTCAATTAGTCTTGCGTTGCCCCCAAATATTTGCTATCACGCTCCAGCACCAAACACTGGTGATAAAGTTGTCAGATGTTGTGCTGCCAACAGACCTTCTAATCTGACCCACTACGTACACTGAAAACAATGAAAAAAAGCTAAAACTCCTGCTGTGAAAGGCAGCAATGGGCTTTACAGCGTTTACCTGAAAGCTCAGGTAGAGAATAAAATGTTGTGGGAAGAGTGCTTTCCTCCTCCGACGTACCTGTGTCCTCCTCCACGCTCAGCTCGTGCCTGATACAGCAACACGATGTGCCGAAGGCGACCAAGGCTTTTCTTGTTGGTTTTATTGGCCGGGTGGTGTCGTGGTGGTGGTGTTCTCTTTCGTAGCAAAATTGTATCATGAGGCAAGTGCTGTGAAAGCCAAAGGAAATATTCTTCGGGAGGCGAGCGGCTATTTTGTTTATTTGTAGTACAAATGTTCTTTCTCTGAGTAAATGCCAAGCTTCCTGCAGGTCCAGCGCTCCCTCTGAAGTCCAACAGGTTAACAACGCTCCAGCACAGTTGGTAGGTAATTTATAGATGTTTTTATAAGGTAAAGGGCTTGAAATGCTCTGTGAGCTGCAGAACAAGGGACGTGGGTGTCTGTTACTTTGGATTATATCCCCCCCTGAAAAGCTGACAGACTCTACCCATCATTTTGGGACTATTTTTGTTGGTTTTCAGTAGCTGCATCTTTTCAGCAAGGAGCAGCTCTGGGTTAGATATGGAGGAAGAGAGGTAGCTGAACAAAATGCCACAGGCACAAACGTTCAGCAATGCTCTCTTTTGCAGACTCCAGCACCTGCTGTTTCCATATACTTATTTTTTAACCTGACTTTCTTCTTCAGAAAAAGTGCATGAGAAAGGGATTTTTTTTAAAGACGATGCAATGAAATGGAAGAGGACGACAGACTCGGATGCAGAGCAAGGAGGAGAAGGTGCTTTGTGTTCCCCAGATTTGAAAAGGAACGGCAATAACCAGGTAGGGGACTCGGGGTTGGGGTTAGATGCAGCAAAGCTTTTCAGCGCAGCAACACGGAGAGCACAGCCACAGCAGAGCCTCAGCGGTGGGGCAAGAGCTGGAGCCTTTCAAATCCGACCCAAAGATCAGGTATTTCTGCAGTGCAAACCTCCCTCTCTGGTTTTCTGAGCACCAAAGCACAACCAACATCAGGCAGGTTCCTTGGCACAGGTTCCAGGCTGGCTTTTCTAAAATAACTGGGTTTCCAGCAGAAGGAGAGCAAATTCAGGACAAACAAGCGTTTCTGAAGACTTCAGTGAAATTCTATTAAATTCTGCAGGGAGCATCTTTAAAAACAACCCCAAAGTAGCTAACAGAGACTTAACTGTTTTCACTTGAAAATCCGTTCCACGTTTTCTGTTCACTTTCAGCCTGGCATTTCATTTCCACCCGAGTTGGAAGTTATACTTAGCCCTGTCCTGCCGGTGCTTTTGCTGGATGAGCGCGCCCCGTTCCCGGCTGGCTCAGCGCAGCTCCCTGGAAGGCTCCAGGTGATGGAGGGTGTATTTGTAGCTCTGCCCGGAGCTGTGTAATAGAGCAAATCCCATCTTTGAGGAAAGAAACGCAACAGCAGCCTGGCTGGGAGATGATCCTCCCAGTATAAATGCAGCTGGGCACTCGCTTCCATGACCTCGATAGCCCCTGGTGGCTCTTTATTGCTGTGGACGGCAGCAACTGTCGTCATTAAAATCGCTGCTGCAATCCCTGTCACCAGCCACGCAGCTCCGATGCAAAATTTCAAATCTAATGTTGGGAACAGTTTTGGCAACTCTAACCAGCTCTGGGATCCAGACTGTGACCCCCAAGGCTGCGGACATGGGGTCCAACAAAACCCACAGGCATTACACAGCAAAAACAGAGCCAGGAGAACAGCAAACGGGAAGCAGGGATGTGCAGGATGGTGGCTGACACCCCCATGTTTCCATGAAACCATCCACTAAATCCAGGAGCCTCCCTTTAAACAGCCCTTTGGTGTGTTTGTCCAGAAGAGACGCACGATTGCGAACGTCCAGCTCTCAGAAAAAACTCTCATGGAAGTTTTCTTTGGATGTTTCCTTCCTCCTACAGGAGCCAAAAGGACTGGGGATGCTCGGTGGGACCAGCAGTTCGCAGCCTCTGTCGTAGAACGGGATTTGTGCCTCGAGTTTGAAGGAAAGCAGAGCCTGCACAGCAGGGATGGGGGATAGACACAGTCCGACAGCCAGAGGCACAACCGGCTTCGGTGTCCCAAGCCCGAGGCACAACTACCTTGCTGAAGTCCTTGTATGCAGCCTTTGTGTAGAAGCCCTGAGGAGTCACTCAAAAAGCTTGCTGGCTGCAGCAGGTGACTTCACTTCTCACATTCGGCCTGCAGAAAGGGCACCTGGGGGGCAGCTCAGCTTGAAGTGGGGTTACGGGTACGTAGCTGGAAAGAAAGGCCATCCGTTCCCCCCCAGCCCGCCTCCCAGCGCCACGGCCAAGCTGCTCAACTCGTCATCAGAAGGAAAAGATGACCCAGTTCACCCAGCTCGTGGTGATGGTGCTGTCAGGATGTTTTTCTCAACAACGCAAATCCATTTTTCTCCAAGACGCCCAAATGTGGAAATACGCCTTACTGCCTAAAAATAAGTTCCAGTCTCTGATCCAATCATTTCTTTTTGAAGAATGTAGAAAAAAATCACTATAATATGCCACTGCTCTCCTGCAGTTCCTCCACTCTATCAATAGAGAAAATTAATTATTACTTACAGTAATTGGCAAGAGCCTGGCACAGGCTGCCCAGGGAAGCTGTGGCTGCCCCCTCCCTGGCAGTGCTCAAGGCCAGGCTGGATGGGGCTGGGAGCGACCTGGTCTGGTGGGAGGTGTCCCTGCCCAGGGCAGGGGGTTGGAACCAGATGGTCTTTGAGGGCCCTTCCAACCCAAATCATTCTGTGATTCTACGATTAATTATTATTTGCTATTACTATCAGCACAAAACAAGTAATATGTGTAACAACATATAAGAACTGCAGGTGAAAAAAAGCATTTAAATGGACAGGCCTTCAGGTTTTTCTCTATTTGTATTTACCATCCCTGGTTGACATCATTTTTTTTTTTCCACAGATAGTAAAAAAGAGGAACTGTTTTCATCCAAAATGGCATATAACAATCACTAAAAAAGTCTAGCAAAACACCTCCTACACTAAGATTTAGTGACTTTTACAGAAATCTCACTGAATCTTCAATCTGCAGATTTCAATGTTAAAAATGCATTCCAAACAGAGTCGTTTGCCTTTTCAGTAACAATGCAAAGACAAATGAAGAATGAAAAAAGCAAACTGTGAAAGGACGTGCAAACCCAGGGAAAGAAAAACCTAGTTAGATCTCTTCAGTCTCGGTTGTTATGCTAAAGATTTAAATTATTTTACCTTATCCTTGAAGAAAAGTTTCAAACTTTTTCTTCAAATACATTTATTAGACACACTGCCTTTGCTCCAGAGAAGGTAAATATGGCTGCCTTAGGACTTGCAGGTAGAAGTCTGTTTACTTCAATTACAAAAATTGCAACGACCACCTTAAAACAAAGAAAAATTCACATTTTATTTAAAACCAAACATTACATAAAACAATACAGAGATTTTCAAGTTCGGAGCACTTTTTGCTGAGGCACAGATTGGGAAAGTACATTGGCACAGTCAGGAACGGCTCATTTTTGGAGACCTGACCTTCCTAACTCAGCTTCTGCCCCGGTTTTCTCTCCCTGCCCGCATCAGGCTGCTCTCTGCCACCTGCACAGCCCCAGGGGTTGCAAATGCAGCTGAACCTCTCTTCCCCTCACTCCCACTTCCTTGACTGGCTTCCAAGTGTTGGCAGGAGGCAGAAGGAACGGTCTAGAAGCCATGACTTGGCCTCTCCAAAACCACAGGACAGCTTTTGTACGTCGTTTATCCTTCCCAGAAGGATTAATCTGGATTCAGCATCAGCTATTGCAAGCCTCGAGGCGCACGGCTACACAACGCTGGGTGGAGCTGAGCCTCCAGGGAGCAGGTCCCTTAGATTTAGTTTTGCTCTCAAGCTTTATACTAGTAACTTGCAAAAGATCAGGAGAGCGGATTCAACCTTTCCCTCAAGAACTGACAATAAAATACTTTCTAAAAAACTATTTGGAGCAAGGCACTCTTTCTGCTAGTGCTCTTTGAGCAAGTTTCTCAATACAGAGCTACCTAATGCTTTCAGAAAACAGCCGCTGAGGAGGTTCCACGTTATTCAGCTTTGCTTGAAGGCGAAAGCTGACAATCTGACATTTGTAGATTGATCTAAAGGCTTTGGTTTTTTGGATAAATTCGAGTCCTCCGGTTTTTGCTCCTGGTTCTTTTTGCCTTCATCTTCGTCAGCTGTGGGACGCTTTCGCTTTTTATCTTCTGCTAAATCATTAACTGTTCCTCCTTTCGCTTTCTCAGTCCACACCTTTGAAGAAAGTACATCATTAAACAGAAAACTACAAATTAGGCCACCATACTGACGACTGCATTTTACACGCCTTCTTTCTCTGATTGTAAGAACGCACTGAAATAATTCCTGGTAAGAACTAATCAGGATCAAGTTAGGAACAATTTCCTCACTTTTCCTTTTTTCTAACACCACTCTCCTTCAAAACCGTGCTTCATTTGAGCCTGTACATGAAATTGAAGCTCTTCATTGTCTTTCTGGAGAAATAAGAAACCCAAAAGGCCTTGGAACAAATTTAAGCCCCAACGAATTAATCCTGGCCATGTCACTTTTAACTCCTTCCCTGTTTCTCTTCTGTTATTTCTTCATCCATCATGTTTCTCTCACACGCCCCACTTTGGAAAAGCTGCTTTCTGCTATCACTTATTATTCAGACGGTTTACATTTTCATAAAGTATATGTTGTAGATCATGGCCCAATTCAGAACTGAAGTCTACAGAGAACAGTAGAATTTCAAGAGAAAATTCCAGAAATAACCAAAGGATTCAGTGGGGGAAAAAAAATTCTCAAACCCCCCCAGAATTAGAGCCTGTTTTCTCACCATTCTTTCTTCAGATGACAGCATTCTAAATCGACTCATGCCTTCTTTTATTACTTCTGCTTCGTTCAGATCAGGATTATCTGTCAAAATGTTTGCTCTGTTCTCTTCGAGCCACATCTGGAATCCTGTCTTTGGTCTAAAGCAAGCACACAAAAACCGTCCATTTAAGCAGGTTATTGGAAAACCACATCCCCCAAAACAACATTCCTAAACACCACCCAACTGGATTTCTTTGTTCTTGAATGAAACTGCTTTCTCCTGTTGCAGTACGCTTAAAGAACATGCTGAGAAGGCAAGACTAGGTCAAGTATTTTTATGAAAACTGAGATATATACGGAGATGAACATTTCAGTTTTAGAATGAGAAAGCGTAACGGTTCTCTTCCCTTCTGACAGGGTCCCATCAACCTAAGAACAGAGCACATGTATTAGCATGTTTCAGCTCATCCTTTTCGCACTTCTCCTTGCCACTTGTTTTAGAACATTATCCGTAAAGGCTAATGAAAAGAATGCTAGTCCAAATGAGTAATAATTACCTTCCTCTTCCTCAGTTAAATGAAGCCTAAGTGAAACACGATTATAGTAATGCAAGTTTCATGAGGTCTGGGATTGTTAGAAAATACATCTGCTCCAGAGGAACAAGACAGATTAGAGTCTTAGCTAGGAAGACGTGTGCTCCTTAGGTGATGCAAGGTTTTTGTCTTTTTTTTTTAAGAAAAAAAGAAAAAACACACTAAAATAAAGCCTTTACACTTTCACGTAACACCCTTAGCTTTTAGACTTCCTTTGAGATTTGCCTGAGATGTTTAATCTTTAAGTATTTCCTATACTTGGAACTGGCACAGCGGCACGGTTTCACTTACCATTCAAAGGTCGTTACCAAATGCATAACGAGCATCAAAGCAAAAATCATTGCTCAGAGCCCCCAAACTACTTTTTGCATTGTTCATTTATTATTCACTCACACATTTATTTGTCTCAGGTTGACGTGAAACTTCTACTTGGCCACGCACGCTGGGAAAGACTTCACGAACAGAAGGCTTTTCTGAGTTCTCTCCCTGTGATCGTAACGTGGCAATTTGGAAATCCAACCGATGTGGTTTAGGTCGGTTTGTTGGACAATAGGCACAGTCCAAGCAGCAGTTTACTAAATTTCCGAAGTGGGTTCACAAACGTGACCACGTGGGAGCTAACGCCTCAATCCTGACGTCACGCTCCTTCGGCCAGCCCAGCGCCTTCAGAAACAAGCTCGGTTTTGGACTTGCTATTCAATCCAAATTGGAATATGGCACCGAGATGCAAGTGTCCACGCACCTTCTGTTTTCAGTGCTCTCCTGGGCAGTGACTTTGACTTCATGGGACTCGTTTCCTGCTTTTTCTTGTCTGTCTTCCACTGTTTTTTCACTGGAGTTCGGTGTGCGAGCCTGGAAGAAGGAGGCTGCTAAAGCCTATAGAAGTTGAGGTTAAAAAAAGTACGAACACGTCATCCTCAGACAACACGTACCGTGTAGCCTAACAAAACCCAAGCCTTTCCTAAAGACTTAATCATCACTTGCATTAACAGAGCATCTAATTCATCCAATTTCAGCACAGCAGACATTTAGTTAACACTATTTAAAATAAAAGCACTAGATTCAGTGCAGAAGGTAATTTCCACAACTGAATTTTTTTGCTGTTTTAGGTGCTTTTATAGTTTCTGCAGTGTGCTTAAATCAACTTTGCCATCTGAGGTGCTCAATCAACAGGGTTTCATACTTGAGAAGAGATGGTAAAATTCAATTTACTGTTCTGTGTTCACTGAAACAAAGTAAAAAAAACCCAGAAACGTTACCTGCTTGGACTTGGGTTTGGGAATCAGAGGCTTTATTACTGGAGTGTTCTGCTTGTTTACAGCTCGACTGCTACACAAAGAAGTTTTCTTTGAGTATTTGCTCATCGTGTCCAGAACACTCGCTGAGGGGACCACTGGGTCCTTTTTGTTAGAAGACACCTAGCAAAACAAGTAAATAGACATTTTATTTATTTTTCTGTGATGTTCCCCTCCTCTGTCCCTCCAAGATATCGGTCATAGTTATACTGTAAGCTTTAGTTATAATAATCTGTTGTGATTTTCAGAACGCTGCGATCAGACCAGCTACCAAATTCTTACCTTGAAGGGATTCACTCGTCCTTGGCTGCTTGATGCAATTACAACTATTTAACAGGAGAGAAAAAAGAATGTAAAAACGTGTGCGCACACGCGCGCACAAAGACACACACATATATAAAAATCTATGTAGCAATGTGCACATTTTAGATGAGGAGATGAAACACCATTAGCCTCATTCCAAAGAACAAGGCTAACACTCATGGTGTGTGTTTCAGCCTCTGTTACTGGAAAATCGAAGAGGAGAACTAAATCGAAGGCATCGACTATTCCACACCAAAGAAAAGAAGTTCCCACCAGGCTTGTGAGTGGTCGAATAAAGAGAAAGACACTTGAATAACCCCATGAAGTTTATACTGTATGTGCTCAGCTATTCTCAGTCATCAGAAATGCCACACAGGACTAAGAGCTTAAAATACCAATCCACAGGAAGACGCAGTACTTCCTCCACTCCCAAATCCGTTTCCACTCCTATTATTCTTGCTAGAGGGTTGGCAGGAGGGAAGAAGCAGCAAGAGGTCGCATTCTGCCCCTGCCTGCTCAGGCTCACAGTTCTACGGCAGGGTTACTAACTCTGCCTTGGACGTGCAGCCAATAAATGTGCCCGGGACTAGTAAAACAAATCAAGTGGTCATTGTTCTCATTTTTCCCTGTCCCAAACAACACCTTCGTGACCCAGCCGGGCAGGCCACTGATTCAGCATTTGGCACAGCTAAGGCAACGGGATAGTGGTATGGAACATCATCAGGTAACGAAGGCATCAGCGGGAATATGGAACCTCTTAGAAACGCGAGGGCAACCACCAGCACAAGTTACCACTTGACAGCACTGTTAGGCACTAAATTTTAACAGTAATGAGGGAGGAAAAACAGGAGCAGGTATCATGAAGCACGACAAAAGTTCTCATCCTGGAATAAGTGCAGATTTACTCACCAGGCTTTGGAGTAGTCACCTCTGCTGAAGTGACACCTTTGGAGAAAGGATTTGGCCCTTCAGAACAAAGAAACGAGGTACATATTTAAGTGCAGCGAAATGTAATAGCACAACCTCTTTAAAAACACTCAAGCACACAAGTTACAGTAAAGCAATGTATGTTTTAAAGCAAGACTTTTCATCTTCGAATTGTACATACACTTTTACAAAACCATCTGTTATCTCTACCTAGATTTAACTCAGAGATGTATGCTTAAACCTTAAACTTACTCCTTAAAGCGTGCCCAGCAGACTAGCCTTGTCTATCAACTCGAGCCTGCAAGATGTGAGCTGAAACCAAAGTAACCATTTCACAAGGTGCCCCAGTCCAGTAAAAGTAGTATCAGACGACGAAAAAACTCCCCAAGGGTCCCTCAAATGGTGACTAAGTACAACGCACAAGCAAGCTGAGACAGAGCAGTGACATACACTGGACTTGTTTCTCTGCAGCAACTGCGGGCACAGGCTGGAACACGCACCCCCTCACTCCAGCAGGCTTTACCACTCATCTCCCACAGGGAATTCCAGGTAACAGGAAGCTCAGAGGCAGGAGTTACTGCGTGTCACCCCGTTATTCCTGTGCATTTTTTCACACGTCAACACCCAAATCTGACAGATCAGAAACTACCAGACCTGTTCTAACTGGGTAGCAGAAAACCCAGTCCCTGCTACAGTGGCAGGGTCTCAAAACTCAGCGAAACAAATGGGATTATTTTCTATTTACGTAAATGGCAACTAAATCAAACGCCCTGTACCTCACTTGAGGTGCCCCATGACAGGCAGTGAGCCCGTCTTTCCTAAATTTTATGTCAAAAGAACGAAACAAAACCATAAGACTGAAAACCTCATTGTTAGCATAGTCCTATAGACTGCAGTGTTATGCAAATGACAAATGATCTGGGAATTTTCCGGAATTCCTTATTAAATCTGTGAAATACACATCCAGATAACCTCCAGCCTATGCAGAGAATATATTTTTCTTACTCTGTTTATGCACTTCTGGTGTTTCTTCTGCTTCCTCACAGGCATCGGTCTCCTCAGCATCTTCCACTTCTTGGTCCTG